ATACATCAACATATCTTGAAATGTTGTCTGTTTGTATCGGTTCATTTTGTAAAAATGGCTAAATTAAAACGCAGAATTTAAAACATCAATGCGAGAATGATGCCACCGCAGAAATAAGATACGCAGAAATTTAAAACCCCTTATTTTAACCAAAATCGCAGAATTTTAAGCCCGCAGAAAAAAGTACTTATACGGTAACAACAATACCTTAAGCAAAGTGTAACGCGATGAGACGTAATGACGCTACTTGTAAATTTCATGGAAAATGTAAACAATTAATATTAACTTTATTTAAATTCCTAGAAACGTTAAAAAAAATGGAATCTGATAACCAATATCTGAATGCAAATAAAACTACCACTTCTTGTATGTTACAAGGAAACAACTTTTAAGCGGGTTCAATCTACATTTAAAAAACACAGTAAATGTTGTGTTTTTCAACTCTTCAGTGTATCAAATATCAATATGTTTTTATGACTTCTATGTTTAAAATACATATTAAGCTCATCTTTATCTTATAATGTTATCAGGAAGAACCCGGTGGCAGTATAATTTAAAAGTGATTCGTGTTTTAAAATGCGCTGAAATGATTTCTTTCATAATTTTTATATGGACTATGTTTATTCAAGGTAATTAGATTGACACAAATGTAATTATCTTGTAATTACAGTTTAACTAAAAACTAACAGGTATTAATTGAAAAAAACAGAAACATTTGTAACTTGACCTATACTCTATACTAAATTTATACTTCATATGTTTGAATTAAATAAAATATCATTATCATTTTTCTTTAATAATTTACTTAAATCTGATTATATCAAATAACCTTGAAATGTTGGAATTTTTTTTATTTTAAATTTTATGTATAATCAAATAGAACTAATTAATACGGTTACTTAATACAATAGTGGTGACGTTCTAATTGTTTCTGCTCGTCTTGCTGGACGTTACGTGGGATTACATTCCGTAAATGGCTCTCTCTTTCTCTAGTTGATATTTGTTACAGTAGTGTCTGTTACAAATTATTCGTTTATCTTGAAATCTAGGTATCATAGTTTTATTTATATCGCCTATTTGCCATATCTGCTTTAACAATTTAACGGGTTTCTAAAACGTGAAAGTTAACACTTTACCAGAGTTTACCAGAATGGACAATGGATGAGTGTATTAACCGATTTGAAGAATTTTTAAATTTGAAATAGACTTACAAGTTGCATCGAGAAATTGCGAATACGTAATTTGTCGTTATAGCAGTTGTGAAATAAACGTTTTTTTATCAAGTATACAAATTATTACATGTATTAACTGTTTTGTCTGGTCCAGTGAGATCTCGTACTAAGAGCTTAGCGAAAAACGGGCATAAAATTCTAGAAATTTTAACCGTAAGATTTTGCCAGATCATTTTAATATAAAAAAGTTTTACTTTATGTATAAAGTTGCTTAGCAATCAATAAATAGTTCATATTTATTTAAGTAATATGTTTTAAGGCAGTATAATCACTTCCGTCGACGTACGTACGTAAATTTATATCTTGTTTTTCATATGTGCTCATTTTAATCTTATCTAAGTTGGTTAAGATACTGCATTAGACACTTACTTTCTCCTTTTTATACGCAGTTAAAACTATACAGAAAATGACTTTAATATCTTTATTACAACTGAATTATTTTGTTTTGTGCAACAAAAGTTTTTACGTAGTAGGCCCTTAACGGGAAATTTTCGCATATTTTACATAGACATGAATAGAAAATTGATACCTAAACAATATGCCAAGGATCACATGCTTTGGATATATTTTTTCTTTGTAAGTGTATACCCTTCCTGGTGATTCTATGAGATAAATTTGTTCTTTAGTTGCTTACGGGAATATCTTCGTTTTATGTCCATTTTATTTCAATTTACACACATTTATTTCATATAAAACTATCTAGATAAACACATGAATGTTTCCGAGGGATCACTTAGTTTCCAGAATTTACTACAAACTACAACGAAGCATGATATATTAAAGAAAGCGATATAAATGAGGTATGTTGGAGTATACCATTTTAGATTTGTTTTTCAAAGTTCAAACTATAACCTTCTGAAGGATATACAGTGCCTGATACCGGATATAATCCCACCTGGTATTTTTATAAGTTGTCTCACCTCCATACTGTTTTACTGTTTGATTTATTGTTTATCCTAAACAAGTACAGTGGGAGCGTCTGTCTCATATTCATTCCTTCACATTTTTACATTTAAATGTCCATGCGTTTTGCATTTATTTCAACATCATGATAGTTTACTCATGGATATTTTGATATCACAACTTTATTGTATACCGTCGATCTTATGCATACAATCAAACCTAAACCGATGCCTTTATATGAACACTATGCATCACAACAGTTTGTCCGGGGGGGGGGGGGGGGTGGCGGCGTCCTGTGAACGTTGCCTTTGCCTTGTTGATCTTTATTGTTGTTATTTCCTATTTCACAAACCATTCCATAAAACCCCTTTGCTTACACTTAAAAACTTCAATTGGAAGTAACACGTGCCGAGAGGTTTACAATTTTCTTTTGAACATTTTGGAATTCGATGAAATATTTTATCCTCATTTTACCCATTTTCAGTATATATAAATGTTTGAATAAAAATAACAAAAAAACAAACAACAAACAACAAGAAAACAACAACACATTTTACAGCAGGAAAACATTTAAAAAATAGAAAATACAGAATCCCTAAAGAAAACCCAACAGGTCAAAATTGAAAATGTTGCAGGCTCGGTTGGATTGAGCCTGTTAATGGACGGTACTGTCAAGTGCAAACTATCGTCCACGCCCCCTAGCACCGGCTTAAGCAGAATTCAACATATTATCAGGTGTGGCTGGCCTTATTTCAGTCAAGACCCTTTACAAAAAGGAAATGGAAAATGTTCTTATGTATTCCTGCACAGGAGTGCTAAAACGTCGAAAAGTAACATTTTGTTCCTGTCAGAGGCGGAAGTAAGGCTGAAAGGCTGGACTGGATGTTCGTTTATCCTATTTTTCATACCTTTATGTGTATGTGCTTTTCTGGTCAGATATTAGTGTTCTTGTGAATTTTTGAAAGGTCTTTATAAAGATTTCTTTCCAGAGTTAAAACCACTCAGCAAAAAAGAATCTATGTAAATCTTTGTAAAACGGTTTGTGGAATATTTTCATGTAAAATAAATAAGGCAGATGTCATCTGTTTTTGTAATGAAATAGAGAAAATAAGAATCCCTAAAGAAAGGCCAACACAACATAATGGAAAATGTTGCAGCCTCGGTTTGATTGAGCCTGTTCATGGACGGTACTGTAAAGTGCAAACTACCGTCCACGCCCCCTAGCACCGGCTTAAGCAGAATTCAACATTTAAACATGAAATGGTAAATTTTTGAATCAAGAAACATTCGCAGATGTGTTCATACGGATATAATATCTTTTCCTGCATAGATTTTTACTAAAATAGGCATTGTCTGATTTCTGTATATAGCAAATTAGTCAATTGTTCATTTTAATAAGTTTTCAGTCAGCTATAAGACGTAATAAAAGGAATAGCCAAAACTTATTTTCACTTCTAATGCCAGATTAAAAATCTGGAAACAAAGTGATCCCTCGGAAGCATTAATCACAACAAAAATACAAGAGAATTGCACACTCGGTTTGATTGAGTCTGTACATGAAGGATAATGAATATGTGCAACATCCCTCACGCCCCCCCTAGCACCGGCTTGAGCGGTACTCAATTCTCAACACTTAATAGTGCTGGCATCAATGATCCCGAAGGACCAGAAAAATATAACAATACTGAAGTGAAGTACGGGGCAACTTTTTACGGCTGCCACACAGCACTTGACACCTGCTGTTGTGAAGTATAAAAATCTGGAAATAAAGTGATCCCTCGGAAGCATTAATCACAACAAAATTACAAGAGAATTGCAGACTCAGTTTAGTCGAGATATTAAATTTACCCCAATTGATGCTACAATATACAAGCTGTTAATGTACGAAAGATTTACTGTAATCGACAAAATTGTTCACACTAAATAGTAAGGATTGTATTTTTTGTGATTGTTTCAAGACTATCATAAAGTTTAATAATGTTAGATTTAAGATGACTTTGAAACATTACCACACATAAAGTGAGAGTGCAGTTTATCGAAATACATAAATATATGCACAACACATAATGTGTTTTTGGTGGATGTGATTTTTAAATTTTGGAATATAAAAGCAACATTCGTCAATTATCTCATCATTTTCTTCAATATAAATCGGTGGAAACGTTTACTCAAGTTGTGCCTCTAAAGTATTTTGAATACCAGATTGCCAATTGTAAATAATCATGGAATATAATCCAGCGTTATCGTCGTCAATCATGTCAATTAGAATTTATTTCACGTTTAAGAATTCTGCTTTTTTATTTATTTTTCTGTCTGAAAAAATGTGTCTTTCAGATGAGATTTGAAGCTTGTTATGTTTTTAATATTTAAAAATTTGGTTTGTGCAGTACTTTTCAAAATTAAATCAAAAGAGCGTCTTGGCTGTGTAATGGCTAGTATTGCTAGTACATTCTTAATACATGCTATGCCTCATTTCAAATAATAACTTTGCTGTTTTTAGTTTACATTTTAATAGTTACATGATTTTACATAGTTGTATACAAAAATGAAGCATTCACAATTGCGCATCTTAAATTTCACAAACAAAGATGTTTAACATTTTCATATTTTCCACCGGATCCATTATTAATATCAATGTTTTAATCATCAGTTTTTCTATGACACATCAAGCATGTCATACGATTGACTTTCAACAGCACCTGGCTCGAGAATGCAATAGCCATTATTGTCTAAATGGATATTTTCTATGGCTTCTTCATTGACATAACTATTACGTTGATCAATTTGTTCATTAGCAGACCCTTGAAATTCACAATGAACGTTGCTTTCAGCAGGAAATTGGTCAGGTGTTCTTTTAGAAAACATATCTAAGGCAGACAATCTGATACACATGCTTGGAAGTTGACCCCTGAAAAAGTAATTTCGATTGCTATCACAAGTGTTGAATGTCTTAATGGAATTATTTATTGCTAAAATGTATTATAAATGTAGTCATAAAGGAACGCGCTACTTTTAAATTACTCTAAATAACAAACAAAAAAACAAAAAAAAAAACACCCTAATTACTAGTCTATATATAAATGGAAGGTGAAAATGACTTATAATTAGTTTTAAATTCAACTAAATCAGAAAACAAAAAGTACTTTACCGTCTTTGTAACACTAAAAATACAATAACAACAACAACAGCAACTAAGATTACAGCTACAACTGATATGATGACGATAATGATAGTGACGTCAGAACCTACGTTGGAAAATAAAACAAACATTAAAAAAATTATATCAGTTTGTCATTTACCCAATTAAAAAAACTGATATAGAATGATTGTATGAAATTCTAACATTGAAAGCATTTGTATGAAAATGAATGTTTATGTTATATTTCTGGAAAAAAATATATCGAGGAAGAGGTTATTGGGTCATTTGAAACAGATGACATTTTAGCACAAATTGTTTACATAGACCTATAAGAAGAATTATAATTCCTGGAGATTAATTTTTTCATAAAAAATCTTTACTAATTATAATGTGAGTATTATCGACGGGAGGTGTGAAATGATTTGATGTAACAGAAGCAAATGTTGTTTGTGTTGCATTTCTTGAGGTAAAAGTTGTGAGAACATTTGGTTCCGTCAATTTACCTGCAATAAATAAAAACTTTATTTTATAATATGATTAAAATGCATTTGAAGACTTAAACTATCTAAAAGACAGTATTTTACGATCGCATATGACTATTTAGTTTGTAATGGTGTTTTTGTTTGAGATAGTTTTGGTTTGATTTTCTGTTACATCAATTGTTTTTACAGTGACTTTCCTTTTTTACTGGTTAGGGAATACTTCTGGTCCCCGTTTTATCTATTTCAGGTAAAACTAGAACCTTGATAGAACTTCCGTTCGGAAGCTTATTTGATACATTCCTCACATAAAAAAATCTTAAGTCCCTTGAAAGATTCTAACCAGGAGCTCATATGGGCAAATGATTTAAGATCGGCCGGACAGCATCCAATGACCAGTGTATGACGAAGATGAATAGTTTATTAAATGACATATTAAATTATGTTTTGATATATAGTACTCCAGTGTTTATATAAGTGCCATTAAGTTATTATAGCTTGTTTAGAATAGCTGTCATTTTTAGAAATCGTAAGTACCGTATAATATAAAATATCACAATGTCATATAACTTTAAATAAAAGTAAAGTTTGCACATTTGACAGTGAACAGTTTCCGACGATGAAAATCTTATTCACTCAAAATGTTGCAAAGAATTTCTTTGAACACATTAAGTAAATAAACTGGAACTCTCTGTACATATTGATAATCAACAAGAAAGAGCAATGTTAACGATACACAGACCCCGAAACTTCCAGTCAATAAGTAGAAAATTACAATTAAAAAAAACTTCATTTCCGGCAGTGTAATTGATATGGTTCAATGCCTTTACACTTCACCTAAAACGATTGTTAGAATTATTGAATGTAAACCAAAACAAAATATAAAATTGATAAAAAACACTGATGTTTAGCTTTGGCATTCATGTAAATAAATAAAACTTACGAGTTTGAAGAAGGTACCATTTACTGTTGGCACTGTTATTTGTAAAATACATATTTGTAATATTTCCACTTTTCTTAATGAATCCGTACTTTTCACTTCCATCTATACTTATTACATTTGAAGTTTCTGGAAAACAAGATATTGACATTATATTTTGTCATAAAACATGTTTTATTATTTCCTTTTATATATGTTCACACAAATATACATTGTTAACTTAGTTACATGTAGTGACGTTTTGCATTTGTATTTTGCACCAAAATGTGGGTGTTTTATATCTATTTTCGTTTGTTTGTGTCAGTCCCCTTGTTTAACATCGATTGCTTAGTTATGATTATATTCCTTCACACTTGATATGTCGTAGCCTCTTTCATCCGGTCCAATAATATCTTTAAACTATAAAACTAATTAAAGACGTATTTGTATCCAAACAAAATTACATGTTACTTTAATAATATTCTGTTTTCTTTTTCGGATCAAAATTTATCACTGATGTATTATACTATTTGTTTAATGCCATCTTTGGCCAGTTGAGCAAACTCTATTTCAGTTAATCAATGAATAACCTGACGATTGAGAGTTTTATTGTTATACAAATGTATTTGTATCGTCAAAAAGATTATTACCTCACCATGATATTTATATATAACATCACTGCGTATAACATTTGTCCATGAAAGACCAACATTCTCATCTACCGTTGAACTCAACTTGTCGTTATAGGTGATTGGAAGGCAGTTATGTTCAAAACAAGTTTTAACATAATGCCTCCATGCACTGAGAGGCAAATTCTGAAATTCAGCATGTTGATTCGAATCTGAAAAACAATTTAAGCAAAACGTACTTAAAATCATACAGTTTGAATGAAAACAATTCAAAATGTATTGATCTTTTTCTGGGACGTGTTCTAATTGAATAAAAAAAAAACAAGCAATAACAAAACAAACAAAAACAACAATATAAACCAAAGAAACAAAAAAGAAACCAATTAAAAAAAAGAAAGAAACATACCAAGATGAAAATTCAAAAGATCTTAAAACCAGTTTAAGATAAAGTTAGAATACACAAAGAGACAGTGTAGAAAATATTGCTTACTTTTTGTACATAAAAACTGATAGGAATTGATGCAAGCACTCCACTGGTATTCTATCGTCGATTTTCTCTCAAATGAAAGACATTTGCCACCAATTTGTCCGTTATGGTTTGTAACATTTATATCTAAAACAGAAATGTTGATAAATGTCTCTTTTCAATTATAAGTTGAAATTATATCGAATTGCATGTAAATATTAAGAAAAACTCACAATTAAAGCATTAACTATAAGAATTGTATAATTCAGTGATTTTTTTTTTAATTTTATATATATATTTTTTTGTTTTCATTAATACATTTTATGAAGCTTGTTTATCTGTAACTTAGTCGTCAGGTATGTTAATAAACTTATTTGCGTAGGTGATTTGCTATTCAAAGAATGTAACAGTCGATAGCATGTGTAAAAAGCAAAATAAAAATTTAAAAAAATCGCAATGAAACCATATTTTAACTGATGTTTCGCAACCTGTCGCTATATAGTAAAATATTGTGACGGGGCTGATATTCAGGTACCATACACCGGATTAAATAGTATTTTGAGTCAAACAAAATTGAAGAAATTTACCAAGGATAGAAAATGAAATCGATTTCTCAGCTCGCGTGACACTTATTTGATCTGAGTCCCTAAAAACATGTCAGATATGAAAAACATACAAATATCCACACAAAAAAATGAATACAGTTTTGTAATCGAATCACCATTGCTGAAAAACAAATTGTTTCCCGAATAAAAAAATCAAGTTTTGTTTTAAGTGACATCCGAAAAAAAAATTGACAGCCTTCCAAAGTACCCAAATACATTTTATAAACGGATAGACACAGTGTTAACCTCCACAGAGAAGATAAATTCACACGCCCGCCCAAATTTTCTTTCCCCAGTTATTTTCTCCGGTTAGTTTTGACTCAAAACTTCATCCGGTGTACGTCACATACCGTGTTTTTAATGACATTGATACTACGTCATTAACGGCGTAGAAATGTAGAAACGTGGTAATAAAATTTATGTACAGATGTAAAGATGAAAGAAAGCAATTTACAAAGTAGTCACTTATGCATTGAAATCTATCAATGTCTTATTCTTATTCTTAGTTTCCTTATTTCTAATTTTCTTTTCTTTCTTAAATGATATTTTTTGGAGTGTTAACAAACAAAGAATCAATGAATAACTGGACCTATTACAACTTGCCAACGTATTGCAATTACGTATTAACTTCTACTGAATTATAAAAGAAATTCACCGGTTTAGGTACTTAGTTGACAAGATATTAAATTTTGCTTTGATTTATGCAAACCTTAATATGAAATTTGAAAGTACCTGTTTTTATCCTTACGTATATTGACATATAGTCATCAGCTTTATGTACTCCACCTTTTACAAAAATACCATCTGGCGAAATATCACATGCTGGCCGATTTATGTTTTTACTAGGCCTTTCTTGCATACAAAAGCACTTCAATTATGAAAAAGATCGAAACAACGTTCAGATAAGGCATTCTCAGTTATTACATTCAGCATATTAAACAAGTTATATATTCAAGTTACATATGTTTTGATTAAGTAAGCTTTAATGATTAGAAATAAACTGTTTTATGATCAACTATTGCAATAATCAAGATCACTTAAGGTATTTAATGGTTGCTATACTGTTAACCTATACATTGATTTCTGTATTTTGTGATTACCTTGCCTCCGTTTAAACCAATATAATTCTGATTGTATTTTTTGCACACTGAAAAGCAAATGCCTGGGTTGTTGTTCGCCCGAGAAAACAAAGCTTTTGGATTCTCATTCTTGATCAACAAACATCCTGAAATACCAGTATATAACAGGTAATGCAGGAATTTCAATTCAATTGTTAGGTTTGGATTGCCGTAGTTATTTCATAAAAAATTCAGAGCAACTTCACTAGATAAAAAATATAATTGCAAGCTCTACCAAAATATGTCGTAGAGATGTTCGTGACCGAGTAGTTAAGGTTGTTGACTTCAAACCAGATGTCCCTTGTGGGATCAAATTCCGACAGGGACATTGGATTCTTTCATATGAGTAAGCCATTCAGCTAGTTAACGGCCGAACTAGTGGTGTTCTACTCTGGTGCCTGTTCTTGCCCCTGATGGACACATAAGGTCTACTTACACCAGTAGATATATGACCTAAAATTAGTTTACATTTTGCAATAAATCCTTTCAAATTATAATTTATTTCGAATTTGTACAATTTCTTACCAATGTACGCAAACGCTGTTTCCTTCGAATAATAACCAACCCAGGCTTCTTCATTTTTCAAGTTATTTAAATTGTCTACAGTAACCAATGAGCTCATAATATTTATGTTAGGAGTTGCAAAGTTGCCTCTACTCTTTGCACCATGCCATGTAAACTTTTGGTTCGAGAGGACATAATTACCCGAGACTGTAAAATATAAATAATTCAGGTTTATCATTAAACACTATAAAACATAATAGTTAAACTATTTTTATAATAGTCTTCTGGAAAAACATTTAAAATACATTTCAATTTGAGTTTTATGATTCCCTCAAGGCCATATCCTTAAATATGAAGATTCAAATTAAGGACCTGATTTCAATTCATTTATGATTTTTTGTCTAGATGGAAAGATGCAATGTAAGATTCCTAGCCTCGTAAGAAGGTTTAGAAATGTGTATTAGTATAGCATGGAATAGAGAAACAATAAGTTGCTTGAAATTTCGAATTGTAAACAAGTATATTACAATACGTATAATTCTTATTGATAAAATTATGCACACATTATCCTTTTAAACACTAAATATCGAGTACCGAAACTTCAAACTTACGTTACAAGATAATAGTCGGCACTGACAACGTTAATCGTTTAACAAATATTTTGCAACATAGAAAAATTATAACCTAATTTATTTCTTACAATTAAATCAAATAACTGCATCTAGGCTAAGAAACTGATTTCATTTTACAGCTTAACACGCTGGAGTGTTTTTTTTTTCTTCTTCTTTTTTTAATTTTAAATTAAAAACCCAAACAACAACAACAATACACACAGAAACCAGAAACAAACAAAAGCCCGATATTATCACAAAATTAAAGATTTTTAATCAATGCGATGTTTTTATTGTACATCAAATGAAATCTTATCTAATTAAATATCCTTATCGAATAAAAACAAAACTGTAAAATTATGTTTCCTCAAAAACCAAAGGTTGATTGTAAAAAAACATGTATTTTGTTATTAAGCACACGAGAAATGCGCCATGAAAAAGTATTGATATATGAAGTACATTTTAACCATTTATCAAGAATTTCGTGCATGTGTCTTTCGATCAAAAGGATATACAGTAACATATTAAATTATCACCAGAAATATCCAACATAAACCGACGTTGAAAGACATTTGAACCTCTTTAGACCTAGGTCCTTTCCGTTTTAATTCAAAATAAACAACATTTAAAGTGATTTATAGTTTAGGTACAGTGAGTCAAGGGGATTTACGTATAACATACAATTTTTTTTATCTACATGCAGCTTTAAAAAATAGTTATATTACTAGGTATTTAAAAACTGTTGAGTAACACTAAAATGACCAAGCTATTCGCGATGAATATCCACTATCACTACTTTCGTCATAAGTTATCACAAATTTAATAATTGTTTGACTGAAATCAAATGCAAATGCATATTACATAATCTTATTTAAGGTTGAAGTCATTTATTAAAAATATATATGAAAAATAGCGGAAGTAGAATAAAAAAGTTGCAATTTTCGACTTAACGTCTTTAAAAAGATATCTTGATTGCTCGGAATATCAAGTAGATGTGGATATCATATGGAATCTTATCCAATAAAAAATTATCCTTTACGAATGTTAAAAAAACGGTAAAATTATGTTGTTTCAAAACTCAAATGATCGATTTTCGATAAAAATGTAATAAAGCATGTTTTTTTGTTATTTAACACGAGAAATGCGTCTTGAACAAAATATTGATATTTGAAGTATATTTTAACCATGTATCAATTATTGTGTGCATGTGCCTTCGGTCAAAAGGACATACAACAACATATTTATTTAATACAAGAATTATTGTTTTGCTTTTTCAAATATCAAAAGTGCAGGCGGCAGAGAAATATCTATATATACTATACAACGATTTAATATGCTAACGAAACCAGATGTTTTTGATATTTTTTGTCTCACATTATGACAAAATAAATAATGCTCTGTGCACACATTATTCCAAACCTTTGTCATAATCAGACCAAAAAAGTGGGACGCTCTATCACGAAACAAGTTATTCGGAGCTTGAACAACAACAACAGCCACAACATGACTTGAAAGTAATATTGCAAAAATGTTACACATGAACTCGTATTATCCATTTCTTTGACAAAAAACTGATTTAAATATTTTCCGCAAATAATTGGATAATATGATAAAAAAAACACATATACAGCAAAAGAATTTCATTCACAAGATAGGATTAGAATTTAAAAAAATGTAAAAACTTTTCCTTTGAAGTTATTAATGCAGCGATTTGTTGACTAATAAATTAAAGTATTTTAATTCTTAAAAATAAGGTACTGCGTATATAGATGTAGAAAACATGTAAAATGAATACGCTGAAGAAAAATGAAAGTGTTTGGCACCAATAAAGAACAAAAAATACTATCTATATGCAGGATTGGTTAAAAGCCAAACAGATAACAACGATCAACAAAGTAGGTGGAAATAAAAATGATGAGTCTCTTTAAATGAAAAGAAATCCTTTTTATGGATAAAGTTATAGGCAGGGTCATTATCTTAGGAATGTGAAAGCATAAGTATCCTTCTATTTGTGTAGTTACACCGGCATTTTAAAATACAGGTAAAGTCAGTCTACATTTTCATACGGCGTATTTGTGTTGAATATATATTTTTATTTGTTTACAAGATAAATGATTTGTAAAATGCGGACATTCTTACGAGGGGATTCTTCACTGAGCATCTTAATAAACATACATCTTTCCGAAACTATGCATTTCAAATGTGTGGGTTTTTGGCATGACTTTCTTTCAAGTTTAACAGTTATATAGTTCAACAAATAACAATTTATAAAAATATGTATTTATTGTTAACAACAATATCTTAAGCAAAGTGTAACGCGATGAGACGTAATGACGCTACTTGTTAATTTCATGGAAAATGTAAACAATTATTAAGATTTCAATGACTTTATTTAAATTCCTAGAAACGTTCAAAAATTGGAAACTAATTAATAATATCTGAATGCAAATAAAACTTCACTTCTTGTTTGTTACAAAACAAAAAAACTTTTAAAATAATAAGCGGGTTCAAGCTACATTTTAAAAACAAAGTCAGTTGTGTGTTTCAACTCTTCAATTTATCAAATATCAATATGTATCTATAACTTCCGTGTTTACAATTATACATATTCAGATTATCTTTCTCTTATCGTGTGACCAGGAAGAACCCGGTTGCTGTATAATTGAGTTGTGTTTTAAAATGCCGCAGAAATGATTCTTTTTATAATTTTTATATGGACTAGCTTTCTTCAAGGTAATAAGATTTAATCAAATGTAATAATCTTGTAATTACGGTTTAACTTAAATGATTATCTTTTAAAATACTGATATTTCAATAATTTGACATATACTCTATACCAAATTTATACTTCATATTTTTGAATAAAATATAATATCATTTTCATTTTTTTCTTTAATATTTTACTTAAATCTGATTATATCTTATGAGCTTGTCATGAATTTTTCATGAAATGTTATTTCTTATTTTATATTTACATTTACATTTTTTACATTTTGTATTTAATCGACCGACTGGGAACTAAAAAGTACGGTTACTTTATTCAATAGTGGCGACGTTTTAATTGTTTCTGCTCGGTGATCTTGTCTGTCTTGATAGACGTTACTTGGGGTTATATTACGTAAATGGATCCCTCTTCATCCAGTTGATATTTTTTATCTGTTACAAGTAATCCGTATATCTTGAAATCTAGGTTTCATAGTTTTACTGATTTGCCTTTTTATCATACCTGCTTTAACAATTTAACGGGTATCTTAAAACGTGAACACTTAAATAGATAGGGAAATGGACAAAGGATGAAGTATTGATATGAAGTATTTGTACATTAGTAATAAATTTACAAGTTGCGTCGATAAATTGTGAATACGTAATTTGCCAATATAGCAGTTGTGAAATGAAAGGTTTTTTTTTTATCAATTATACAAATTAATATTTACTGTTTTGTCAGGTTCAATGAGATCTCAGACAAAGAGCTCAGCACAAAACTGTCATAAAATTCTAGAAATTTTAACCGTAAGATTTTTCCATCTCATTATAATTTTAAAAGTTTTACTTTATGTATTAAGCTGCTTAGCAATCAATAAATAGTTCATATTTATTTAAGTAATATGTTCTTTAAGGTTAATAATCACTTCCGTCGACATTCGAACTTAAATTTAAATCTTGTTTTTCATATGTGCTCATTTTAATCTTATCTAAGTTGGTAAACATACTGTATTAGACACTTAGTTCTCCATTTCATACGCAGTTAAAATTTTACAGAAAAAAATGACTTGAATAACTTTTGTACACGTGAATTACTTTGTTTTGTTCGACAAAGGTTTTAAAGTAATAGGCCGTTTAAGCAATTTTTACAGAGGCATAAAAGGAAATTGATAACTAAACAATATGCCAAGAATCATATGCTTTGATTATCATTTTTCTTTGTAAGTTTATTCCCTTTCATGGTAATTCTATGCGACGAATTTGGTCTTGAGTTGCATACGGGAAATATCTTCGTTTTATGTCCATTTTTATTTTTGAAGAAATATGCAGTATATTTGTTTACTCTTGAAGCACAGAAAAACATATTTTACAAGAACTGTTTAAAACTATGCATAATGACTAAAATTGTTGTAACAAACATAATCGAAAATAAAATAAAGTACCCTTGAATTTAAGTAATCTGTTTCTAAAAGTGTCGTAAAAGAGCAACAAACGCTTTCAGAGACAAATAACTGAAAAAGTAGGACGCTGATCCCCAAATATGTGTGTATCAATTTGTTTTTTAATCATGCTCCCCTTGAATTATGCAAAGTTTAAAAAGATTCTCATACCAGTTATTTTTTTTTTCTTCTTTTCCTTTATAAAATTTCCCATTTGAGGCCATCTTTCTTAACAGATGATTTATCATGTATGAATTTGAATGAGAACAAAGATATCTTCACATAAGAAGTACTCCGGTACTTTATATGACTAGGAAAAATAATATACATAAAATATTTTGATTTTAAATAATTGCGATAAAATAACGAGAACACAAGTACGTTCTTTTGTTGTTTAATTTGTGTTGCTTTATAACACTTAATGCATTTCACTTAATTGTTTCTTTGTTAGAGTGAGATTATGTCATAGTTAAGCCGAGCTGAATTAGTCATACATTAAGAAAAAGATTGATTTTTGAAATTTTAAACCGACCAGTAATTGATGATGAAAATAAAAATATATACAATTCAAACTGCCTAAAATATGAAAATAAAACTGCCCTACTCTTATCAATTTAACGTAACCGACATATTACGAAGAATATTAATGTTGAAAACAATTATGGCGGAAGGTAAAGTTATTTTAATTTCTACCTGTATAGTCAACAGTAACAATGTGTTTGATATAGTGTCACTTGAAGGGAAACTATCATATTTCTGCCGTGTTTTTTCTTAGTACTGGCTTATACCCCACCACAAAATGTGTGTGTGGGGGGGGCTAAAATTGATTCGCTATGTCGGTCGGTCGGCCGTCTCCATTATCGTGTCCGCTCAATAAAACCTATACCAATTGAAGGAGTTTCTTCAAACTTGGCTCAAATGTTCACCTTAACAAGAGGATGTGCAGAACCCATGTTGCCTATGTGTCAGCTCAAATTCAAGGTCACAATTGAAGGTCAAATAATCAACTATTAGACAGTGTGCCCGCTGTGTAAGTTCTAAACTAATTGACAGATTTTCATCAAACTTGGCTCAAATGTTCACCTTAACAGGGGAATGTGCAGAACCTATGTTACCCTTTTGCCAGCTAATTGAAGGTCAAAAATTGACTTAGAAAATATTCTTAAATTTAACATGTATTTGAATATTTCTGAAACTAGAAAAGGTATTTGCTTGAAACTTACAATATATATGAAGTGTCACAATTAAGATATGCAAGTCAAGTTTCATAACTCTGTATTGCATTTGGACAAAGTTATGCCCCTTTTTAAGTCGTTTTAAGTCTTCAAATTTACATACAATCAAATATTAGACAATATGTCGTGTCAGCTCTATAAATCCTATACTTGTGAAAAAAAATTCTTCAAACTTTACTCATTTGTTCACCTCATTAAGGTTATGTGCAGAACCCATGTGACCTTTGTGCCGGCTTAAGGTCAAGGTTACACTTGAAGGTCAAAAATTTACTTACAAAATATTCTGAAATTTTCACATGTTCTTGAATATTTCTGAAACTAGCACATGTATTTGCTTGAAACTTAAAATATATATGAGGTGTCACAAGTAAGATATGCAGGTGATGTTTCATAACTGTACATTGCATTTTGACAAAGGTATGCCCCTTTTAAGTATTTAAATTAACATACAATCAATACTAGACAATATGTCGTGTCCTCTTTATAAATTCTATACTAATGGAAGGATTTTCTTCAAACTTGACTCAAATGTTCACCCCAACTGGGCAATGTGCAGAACCTATCTCTTACCCTTGTGCCAGCTTAAGGTCAAGGCAACACTTGAAGGTCAAAAATTGACTTGGAAAATGTTCTGAATTTTTTTTTTTGAAGTCCAACAGGTTACTTCGTTTATTGTCCCTGTCAAAGGTAAAATAGGGTCGGGGATCTAACTGCTATTTCAACGTACAAGTTTTCTAACAAACAATATATATATACACAATATGACAAGAACAACATAATTATGTAAATTGTAAATTATAATTATTCATGGGCTATAAAAGTATGAAATGCTACATAATAATGCAACAAGATTAATAGATATAATAAATATAATCAATTACACATAAGTATATTTTTTTACTTATATATGAGAAAAGATATATATTAAAATAAATTCGCATTGAAAACAAAAAAACAACAACAACATTCTTCGTATAGAGGCTTGTATGTACGTTTCTCATTTTAGTTGTTTGATTATATTTTAAAAATCTTTTATGTTGCTATAATTTCCTTTTCGGTATTCTGATATAAAATATAAGGTTACTCATCATCAAGGGATAATTTTTGAATAAAATTTTGCCTCAAATTATGAAAAGAAATAGCATCTCCATTTAAAAAGTTATATATTCTTGATTTTTTAATTTTATTTTTAAGTATATTAAAAACATATTTATATTTAAGTTATTTTGACAGTTTTCTCTAAATTTTGTTTTATAAATATAGTATTTTGCTAATAATGTTACAAAATTCAAAATAGAATGTTTTCCATAATACGAGAACAGTATGCCTTTCATGTCAGAAATATCAAATTCGACGAAACACTTATCTCTAAGCCAGTCTTGCAATTCTAAAAATACGGGCATTGATAGAATAAATGTTCAATCATTTCTCTATCAATGTTACAATATGAGCATAAATCATTATCTCTAATATCTATTCGATGTAAAAAATGTATTTGTCACAAGAATTTTTTTATTAATCTTATACTGAAAATCTTTTCACTTTATTTCTTTCACAGTATTTAAGGCTGTACAATAATTTAAAAACTCCTTCTGTGTGTGGTACTACAGAATTTATCCAGTTGTTAGGAACAACTAAATTGTCAGCGCCAATAAGAAAATCATAAAAGAATCTGCAACCCTTACTATTATGTATAACACATTTACGATACGGATTTAATGAAATGTTCTGCTTGTATAAAATAATTTATCTTTACTGTTCCTAATCTACTCTTTCCATAAAAAGGATGGTATCAGTGACTTGTTGAATATCTAAAATGTGCCTCTTACCTTATATATATCTTTTAATTTTTGAATACTGTAAATATTACCGTAATTGACATATAAATCAATAATATATATTATTTTATGATGTATCCAATTGTTAAAAAATAAATTAGTGTTACGAAAATCTTAGTGTTTAAACCATAAATATTTGAATATAATATATCTTCGATACTTTCAATGTTCACTTTTTTGCAAAAACTAGTCCATGTTTTCAACACTTGTTTCCAGAAAATATTTGGAAAGTTCTTCAGAATATAACTGATGCATAAACCAGGGACCAAGTTTTACCACTTCTTTGGTTATTATTCAAACGAGAGAGGTAACCCAAGATTCGCCATTTTCGTTCAATAGACGTTTGATCCAACTTAACTTTAAACTGTTCATAAAGGCTTCTTAACATTTAACATTTTAATACCCCCGGCCTCTATATTTTTTATCTATAACTGATCTTTTTAATTTTATCTGAACCTTTTTCCATAAAAACCGAATATAATAATCTTTCTATTTGTTTAATTAAAATCTTATGAAGG